TTGAGAGGTTTCAGATTTTAAGAGGCACAAATGAGAACAGGACATCTAGCTCACAGGACGTCACAGGTCCCTCTACTGCAGTGACATCTGGAGCTGACTAAGCAGGGGAGGAGGAGGGTCAGCCCAGCGAACATCTGGGTGAGGGCGGCTTGGGCGCCCAAGGTCCGGACCGGTTCGCAGTCAGGGCTGCTGAGCCTCAAGGAGCGGAGGAAGGGAAGGAGAGCAGCCTCAAACCGGTGAAGGTGGGATGTGTGCGAGCCAAGAGGATGCGGGGTGCTGATCACCAGGGCAGCAAGTGTGTCTGGGTGACTGTGGAATCCCGGGACACCCCAGGGAGCAGTTGCAGCTCTGTGAAGGCCCCGGTGTGGCAGAGCACGCCCAGCAGGGCTGCCCCACTCAGGGTAGGAAGGGGCCCGGGGACCCCCTTCTGTGAGTACCCGGGGCCTGGGGGCTTCTGGTCCAAGGGTCCATCCAGCCTCACTTCTGTGTTATGAACCCAGAGGGGGCACGAGATAACGCAGCACGACTGATGTAACCCACTGAAACCAGTTGAAATGTTTTGATCACGCATTTTGCTGTCTGATAAACCGCACAACAGTGGTGCCATCGAGAGCCTGTTTTCCCTCTAAGGTAGCAGTGTCACTCACGGAGCAGACCCGGTGCAGTGACTGTGAGACATCAAAATAAAGACAGCACCCGCAGGGGAGGACGACGCCTGAGGGTACCACGGGGGGTGTGTGTGTGTGTGTGTGTGTGTGTGTGCTGCGGATGTGATGTGACCGCCATTCCAGAAAGGACTTCGGGTGGGTAGTGAGGATACATAAAGTATGTCCAGATGTGACTAAATTAAACGTTGAATGAGAGGAGCCAGAAATATAGGGAAAGAGAACCAAATAAGGGTAATAAGAATAGAAATGCTGCTCAGAGACATGACCTGCCTCGCCTGGTGTTTATGACTCTGGGAGGCGCATAGAGACAGTCATCCCATTTCACAGATGAGTTAACTGAGGCTCACAGGCTGAACAGTTTCCCAAAGACAAGTACCTAACCAAACAAATGGGCTGGGATTTTGATCAAGGTCTGAGTGGCCACAAAGCTCGACCCTCTGGTGAACCGTCGTGGCCTCAGGAAGAGCTGAGGGTGAAGTGGCACTGATCAACACCTTGATGACAAGGGCGGACCAAGGACTCAGAGTGAGCAGATGTCTTCGCGCCCAGCGACACAGGCGGATGCCTGAGTCAGAGCCCAGCACAGCGCCCTCACGCCCCTGCTTCCTGTGCGTTCAGGGACAAGGATGATGCCCAGAATGATTTAACGTCTTACAACCAATCTGGAGAATGTGACAGAAGCCATGAAAGCTGCACTTGTCTTTCAGGTGGCCGTCCACACGTCTTCTTACAGCAACGCTACCTCAGATCTTACAGACGACTTCTGACGGGTCAAAACAAAGTCAGTGTCAGTCGTCACGGCTGACGATAGTCAACTCCTTTGCAAGCAAGACCTCTTCTGAGACACCAGGGACATGAGAAAATGCTTTCTAGCCTAGACATTTGTTCCATCTGAACAGCAAAGTGGTTATCTGGTGATCGTTATGCATGAAGAGAAGGATGATACGTCATAGTATCAGCGTGTGTTTGTGAAGCTCTTGGAACACTCTGTCATGGGGGATCGATAAACAGGCACGCTCACTGCAGCGCACCAGCTACGGGCGGGAGGCGCCGGGCACAGCTCATCAAGGCCACTTGTAAAACCCTCCCTTGGCAGGAGGACACCAGTTAATAGAGACCTTTCTAACAATGGCCAGTGAAACCCAGGCTGAGATTTCCCTTCGCTTTTCCACAATGTTGTTGGACTTAATTCACTTAAGAAATGGTTCTAGAACACCTACGATGTGCACACCCACAGTCACAAGGCAAGAAAGATGCCCCGACACGGGGTGAGCACAGTCCCTCCCGATCGTGGGCAGAATTCACTGATGGCCACAGAGCACATTTACGTCCCAGAGATGATGCTGCGAGGACTCGTCCTTCACGTCCTTGAACCTCACCTCTCACCCATCGAGACATGCACCCCCCCCCCCCGGGGTGCCTGCGGAGGGGACGAGGTGAAGGCAGGGAAGGACACAGCACACGATGCTTGCCGTGGCGCCGTGTGACGCAGGCCAGAGGTGAGATTAACACCGAGGAGGGTCCACATCTGTGCTGTCCAGTCTGGCAGCCTCTGGGCACAGTGCTATTTAAATTTAAGTTAATGAACATGAAATAGAATTAAAGATTCAGTTCCTCAGTCACACTAGGCCTGTTTCATTAGCCACACTTGCCGGTGGAGCTACCATGTTGGACAAGACAGACAGACAGACATGGGGCATCTCCGCCAGCACAGATCTGTGGGCCGGGGCTGGCCTGGGCGGTATTTCTCCTTGTTCCTCAGTTAGCAACGAGCCTCATGGGCTTCTGAGACAGGACCTAACCTGGCCCTTCGAGAGCGCTAGAGAGCAGGTTAGTTAGGAGGCAGGAGACAGGTGTGTCCCCCAGGGAGGAGCTGCGCGGGGAACCGGAAAGCGCAGATTTCAAGACAACCCTGGGAAGAGACTGGCCACAGTTATAGGTAGCTGGTGATTCACTTATTGGTTTCTCGGAGTATTAAAATGGTTTCATTACATGGAGGGCTCACTGGAGACTCGCAAAACCCAAAGCCAGCTTTCAAAGGCCTGGAAGAAAAACCAGAGGACTGGAAAGGGAGGGCACCGTGGGGACACGAGCTCACGAAGCTCCAGAGGGGTCTTTAGCTGGCCTTTTAAAGTGATGGGACAACTGGTAAACAATGAAAGAGAATCAGTGACGTGAACTGACCACTCCTGTGCGTCAGACTGAAAAACATGTGATGAGACCAGCTCCAGGGGCACGGTCAAGGAAGAACAGAAGTGACCAGTATTTGAAGTAAAAGCCAGCAGTGTGAAATAGACAGAATGAGCTTTCCAGAGCCTTCCCAGGCATCCAGATGCGATTCCCTGCCCTTTGCTTTCCTGGTGCCCACCACTCCCCCTGCCCTGGGCTCCACCACTGGTCTTTTAAGCAGAGGGGCTCTGTATCAGGAACCCCTCCCCCATCCACCCCCCAGTGGGACTCAACACTTCCCCCAACTCGACTCCTTCAGAGAGACCTGGTCAAGGCTGGACACCCTAATACGCACCCACAGGTGGGAGCCCATGGGCCGTCTGCCCGAAGGTGGGCCCTCCCACCGGCACGGTCTGCTCAGCCTTGGACACAGCAGAGCCGAGTCTGTGAGACTGAATGAAGAGACAACCCTGCCCTGCAAGCCCAGGCTGAGCCACCCAGAGCCCGCGGTGTGCTGGGGCCTCCCAGCAGGTGGCTCCATCAGAAAGCCGCCCGGAGCAGGGAGGTTAGGGCGCCGCCTGCAGTCAACCCTCCCATGGTGTCTCATCCCCGGTCTCTGGGGCAGCGAACCCCTCCCAGCTCGGGGATGTGGGCTGCTTATACCAAGTCCTCTCGGGCTGGAGAGCGGTTCCCAGCCCATCTGAGAACAGGGGACAGGGAGGACTCTTCAGCTCTGAGGATCAGGCTTGAAACATCGAGCACTTTCCTGCAGCCCAGAGCACGGAGAGGCCCCTCTTTTTATTCCCGGCGTCTGTGCTTTCCGGGGCGTGATTTTCAGAGCTCCAAAAAGGTCCCCTAACGGGCTTTTCCCAACAAGCTTAAAGACAGCTAGCGCTGGGGTTCCCTTTCACTCCCTGGCTCTGGGAATATACGTGGTGTCTCTTCAGACAAATGCAGAGGGGCCTCCTCTTTATGTGTGCAGCTCGAGACCACTTCACGTGTCCCGCAGAGAGCCCCGGCGCAGAGGAACACGCGGCCCGACCTCCTCCCGGTCTCGGCGCTGGCTGCCGTGGGTGCTTCGATGGGTTCCTTGTCCCCGGGCCCCTCCCTTGAGCTGCGGGGGTTGTGATGGACACAGGCTGTCAGCTGTGCCGCGGGGACAGAGGCCAGTACACAGAGGTCAGAGAGCAAGCGGACCCCCGCAGGCTCAGCGGTGCTTCCTGTCTGCCAGACCCCGGTCCAGGTGCTTTACGTCTATGAAGCCCCCGCCCCGTGTGCCCCGTTTCACAGAAGAGAGCTAGGCCTGAGGTGACCCGGCATTGGTGGTAGGTGTGAGCCCAGGCAGGCTGGAGACCCTACGACCTCTCCCAGGGGTGCCATTTACATCCACATACACCCTCTGACGAGGATCAAAGTCACAGACGCCCTAACTCAGCGTCGGCCTCCGTGCAGCATGAAGCCCGAGGTGCGCACAGCGTGGAGCCGCACAGAGGGGCTCAGGCTCCTGGGGAGCTGCGCAGGTGTGGCTGGAGGATCAGGGCCCAGGAGATCGAGACGGGGTCCTGCCGACACGAGGAAGCTCGGCCCCGGCTGAAGCCGCGGCCGCTCTCAGGCCCTCCACACACACGGCGAGGCCCTGAAAGCCACAGTAAGCGTTCCTCCTCTCTCCTCGTCCTCCTGGCTGTTTGCTGGCGGAAACGCATGACCAGCCAGTCCAAACAGTCAAGAAAAGTGCATAGATCATGTTCTGGAAGTTCAGTGGTGCTCAGAAAATCGGTGCTCTCTTCTGTGTTGAGCTGCAATGCGTGTACGCAGAACGTGACACGCATGTTTAGAACACTCGACTCGTGCCTTCGGGGCTGCCCAGGCGTGTCAATGACATGACGAGGGCTCAGCACTCTTTCCCGGGAGCGGCGCGGGCATTCCCGGGATAACTCACCTTCCTTCCCAACCGGGAAACCTGGACTAGCTCCCAACTGCAGACTTGTGCTCAGTCATTTTGAGTCCCTGAATGGGGGGCACCCATGAGACACAGCCTCTCCACCCAGCCCCCCACCGAGCAGAGCAAAGCAAGGAGCCTGGGCCTCTGCGAGGGGCCAGGTCAGGAGCCTCCGGAAGCATACATCTTAGCGAAGCAAGTTAGCATCAATTGTAGGCTCTTACTTGTAGTTTTTCTCCCAGAATTTCACTGGCCTGACATACGAAGTGATGAAAATGACACTCCCGAGAAACGGGCTCAGTGGCGTAGAAAAGATCGACGTGGCAAACGTCTGAAAGAAGAGTAAGGCAGAATCTGGAAATTTTGAGTTAAGGAAACATTTTTTTTCATTGTTCTATTTCTAAATATCATTTAAGATTTTGACTAGTTTACAGTGAAGCCGTTTTCTCACCAAGAAAAGAAAGAAGGGCACCTCCAGCTACGTATTCGGAACAGTAACACGTTGTCGCATCCTGCGAGGTCTCATCTCACCACCTTGACATCGAATGATTCTCATGAAAACCCAGCGGTCTCGGTGTGACTCATGGCAAAGATGTACTATCTCAGGTTTGAAAACAACGGTGTCCTTTTTCTAAGATATCATTTGCTGAACAAAACATGTGGTGGCACATTTACTAAAGCACTAAGTAGTTTTATAAATAATTGAAATGAAATTATACTTTTTATTATTAATTTTAAATATGTTTGTACAGATTTTTTTTTTTTAGGAAGAGGAAGGCAGAGATAGAAACATGACCAGCTGCCTCCTGCACGCCCCCTGCTGGGGATCGAGCGTGCAACTCGGGCATGCGCCCTGACGGGAACTGAACCAGGACCTCAGTCCATGGGCGGATGCTCCATCCACTGAGCCACACCAGGGCTTCGATTACACTTCCAAAAATAGATCAGTAGCATTGTTTGGGAAGGTAGCATCTCTGTTCCTCAAAGAATCTTTCCCCACTATTCAACAAGAGTCTGTTCTTTATTATAAACTGAATCCAAATGCCTCCCATTTTTAGGTTATAAGCCAAAGACGTCAACACGTGAAGTCAGAGGCTGCTGTGGGAAACCGCACCTTTGCACTGTGTACGGGTTTCTCACTTACTGCCCTGCCTCACTTTTCTGCACCCCAGTTGATACACACTGGTTCAATACTGAAAACAGCATGGCTATGACACTGGTCTCTGGAAATCCGGGGGAGGTGCCGTTAGGGCTGGTCGCTCCCCATTCTCACTCCACCATCAGGGAACTTCTTCCAGCTGCCAATCACTCCGCCATCAGTGGTGCAGGGGTGGGGGCGGGACCTGCGGTCGGAGGAGCAAGAGGGATTGCGGTGGCCAAGGTTACAGCCAGAGGAGACCACCCGGCCTCACGTATACATGCTGTTCCTTGCCTCCTGACTGATCTCCCAGGCTGCCTGCCCACCTGGGAGGGGACATGCCCCTTTCTTACCACTGTGCAAACCAGGCCTTATTTCTCCAGCCCCTGCGCACAGAGGGAAGGAAATGCCGGGCACAGACATGAGCAACAGGAACACAGAAGGGCCGCAGGCCCCGCAGTGCCGTTCACACCTCGCCGGTGGCTTGGCTCAGGTATGTGACAGGGAGAGGTGGAGGTGGGACTATCAAGCCCCCCTTACACGCACACAGACAGGGGAGTGGGCGTGTGCTGTCCACGGGCACGTCCCAGTGTCCTCACAGACCGACGCTCAGGGTTTGCTTCGAGGGGAACCGTTTCTTTAGTGTGTCCTGCTGTTTACACCTTCAGGAATGAGATGACAGCTCCTCCACGGAAAACCCACTCTGGTGGCGAGTGGTATGGGCACCGACGACACCTCTGTCGTGCTGCAACTTACGGCCGATGCCTTTTACCTTGCCCGGGTGCTCACGGAGACCCAGGGAGCACTACACGACTGTGAGACCTATTCTCACCCATCAGTTTCCTGTTCATCTGAAAGCTGAACGTGTTTCAACACCCAGGTCACAAACACTGCAAATACATGACACCCCTGTTACCGGAAGAAAGGGACCTGCGTGGGACACGTCGTTGAATAAAAGGACTGAAGCAATGTGCGGAGGCCGGTGGGTTTCCAGGGGCTCCCGGTGGGAGGCAGGTGCGTCTGTACCACCAGGGACAGGGCGCGTGGGCCCGCAGGAGAACCGGGACAAGGCCAAGCGGGCCAGGCCGGGCAGGACGCTGCAGGGGCTGGCTTTGCTCTTCCTTTCAATTCCCAACAGGTCCCCAAAGATTATGTTGTCCAGGTTATAATGTCAGAGACAGCTACCCAGAAACTAAGGGCCAAGGGAGGAGGAGAGCAGGGTCCGTCTACAGGTACAGCTCACTGTGGAAGAGGAGGAAAGGGAATGACAGGTCAGGGGGAGGGCAGAAGGGAACAGCTGGTCTCAGGTTATTTTACTTGGGGATGATCAATAGAGAAACACAGCACGCTCGGGGCAAATACTAAGCCTGTGACCATGATCCCGAAGGCAGTGACGAGAAACGGGGACCAGAGACAGCGGGCACATGCTGCCTCTCATTTCCTACCAGGAGAGCCAAGAGCTCAACCCAACAGGTCAGCGGTAGCACCGATCAAAGCTTCTTTGTGTCTGAGCACACTGAAAATGACAACAATGTCAATACTTCAAGTTAAAAAACAAAATCAGTAGAAGCTCAAAAGGAATAGAAAGCAGCCATCCCAATATGCACACTTAGCAGAGGTAATCTGGCTGAGTCTGTCTAATTATCAGAAGGCAGTGGACTTGCATGGTCTCTGCACACATTAAAAGGGTGAATATTCCTGTCTTTCCCTGGGGGTTACAAACTCAGAAATTGGCGGAGGCTACCGAGGGAGAAAACATGCTAGAACTGGAAAAAGCCATTTACTAAACAGTGCCCCGCTGGCCTGAAAGCTAATTCAATTCCCAAACAGAGCAAATTAGTCCTCTCTCCAAACAGGATGGAACCCACAGCTTCTTAATAGAGTGATGAAATAATTAACATTTCAAAATTACTCAAGATCCAGGGCTGGCATTTAGGATCCTGATAGCTTCGCCTCGATGATCTATCTATCCCATTTCCGAAACTCTTGATCCCATCTTGTCCTGCTCGGTGTGACGCTAGACTCCAAACAGCAATGCCTGCCACTGAGCAAGGGTGGGGAGGTGTCCTTGGATGATGGGAGGGCAGCGAAGGCCTGTCGGCCGCCCACAGCTGCAGTGCCAGGATGCACGGTCCCCTGAAGGGAGGAGGTGGGTGTCACCAGAGAGAGTTCTAGGAACACAGTGTGGAGACTGAGTATTCCCAGTAGAACTACCAAATGCCCAACAGAACCACAGCTCAGATGGGTTTACTTTCTTAAGAGAATGAGTCTACCTGTTCTTAGATTTAACATGCACTGTGTGCCATCTGAGATACATGCTAACGCGGCATTTATTTTTTAGCAAATGCTGAAGGCAGATAGGATGTGCACACACATTGGACAGGGAGCAGAAAAGTCTCCCACGAGGAGTCAGCAGCAGCCCTGGCCCCTCCTAACAAGGAGAAGGAAGCCCCAGAAGAGCCCCAGACCTCCTGAGACCAAAGTGAGGACAGAGTGGGAATCACAACTCGGGGTTTTCAATTCTTCATGCGCCCCCTCAACTGCAAACTGGCACTGATCTAATCGTTTTCATTTAATAACGGCTTTAACTTCTGGACAGGCTGCCTTAGACACACTTCAGAAATGAATGAAACCCCTCGCCCTTCGCCTCACCGTCTTCTGCGAGAGGCCGGATTACGTGCGGAAGTGACTGGAGCCACAGTGACTGCGTTAGCGGGCGGGGCGGACACACGCTCACGCTTCGGCTGCTGGTTTCCCTGCCCTGTTCTGCCGAACACCCTGGAAACACTTCAGAAACACAGTGCAGGTCTAAGAATAGGAACGCGGAATAATGGGGTATGCTTTAAAACGTTTCTTTAACAGATAAATCTGGAGGAGAGCATTTTTGAAATTGGAAAAAAAATCTAGAGCATGGTGTCACCTAGGATGCTCCCGAGAATATCGCCGTCCCTGGCCACAGCGTCCGGCCCCAGGGCTCCTTAGAGTGCACACCAGAGGAAGCCGAGCAGTCCTCGAAACGAGCCGATAGCACCCACAACAGGGCCTTGAACTGGGGTCACACACATTGGGGGATTTACCAGGGAGGCGTGTGAAGATGGGGATCCCGGGATCCACCCCTGCACTGTGGTGTTCAGAGTGTGTGCCAGGCTCAGGATCTATTTGGCGAACTCCTCCAGGGGTTCGGTGCAAGCGGCCCTGGGCCACATTCTGGGAAACACAGATTCAGAAAGTATGAAATCAGAGAGAAGGAAAACCTCTGAGGGCAAATTGTAGGCCTAAGTCTAGGATATTTTTGTTTAATCGCTTTCTTTTTTTTGATTAAAAAATATTTTTTCTTTATTGGTTTTAGAGAGAGAGGAAGAGAGAGATAGAAACATCGATGAGAGAGAACATCGGTTCACTGCATCCTGCATGCCCCCGACTGGGGATTGGCCCACAACCTGGGCACGTGCCCTGACCGGGAATCGAACTGGCAACCTCTTGGTGCAGGTCGACACTCAGCCACTGAGCCACGCCTATTGAGCTGTTTAATCTCTCTTTTCAAGAGTATTTTATATTCCTTTCTCTGTCTCCCTCGCCCTCTTTCTATCAACCCATACACATGCTCCTTCTTCCCCCTCCCCCACCACACACACATACGCACATGCACACGCATGCATGCATTCACACATGTATACTCCTCTCTCCTCATGCACACTTTACTGCAGCAAGGCGATCTTTAGAAGGAGCAGCTCAAATTTGTTTTGAAGTATATTAAAACTAATTCTCATGATGAAACACTTAAAAACATACAAGGACATCCAAGGAAAGTGCAAACGATGAAATTAGGCTCCTCGGCTAATAGCAACTGCAAAACAAAACCACGGGTGATTTTTTTCAGTCTTCAGAATGTTGGAGTGATTCTGTTTGCACCCAATTCTGGGTTTTGAATATTATTAAGTATATTACAAGCAAACTATATCATAATACAATGTTGCCTAATCTGTAATAATATCAAATACTAGCAAATAATATCAACTGTGTCTACAATGTTTAAATACAGCAAATTGATTTGCACCATTTTGCACGAGTCAACGGAACCATGGAAGCGGTAATTTTCCATCTGAAAGAGAATACCCGCATGCAGATCTGGGCATGGGGAGCGGGAGAATCAGAACTAAAGTCACTCCTGGCTATGCATTAAGAAGCAGGAGGAACCTGTCTTACAGCTGAGTGGCCTAAGGGGACCCAGGGTGCCTCCCGTCCCCACTGACTGTATCGTAAAGACCTGGGGGTCCGTGGGTTGCCGGGCCCACGGAAAGCTGCGCCCAGGAGACGTGGACGCGGTAGCAGTGGAAAGGATACGCGGGACCGCAAAGAGCTGGGCAAACACGTGAAACGAAGAACCCCAGGCCATCTGCCAAGGAGCCACGTATGCCATGACGAACTGTAACTTCTGAAGCAGGTCCCTGAGCTGGAAGCGAAAGGAGAAAAAGAGTCGTCAGAGGTGACAGCCACCGCGGCAGTGGCGTCCAGGTCCTTTGAGCACACGCGGGTTACGGTTCGGAAGGGGCGGGGTAACGACTGTTGGCCCCTCAGTCTTGTCCTTTGTCCTTCACGCAAGGCGAGCGTCTCAAGGAAGTTTCACAATAGCCATGAGGTGGTCAGAAGAAACCTGGTGTAGTCGGATCTCACCAGGCTGATTATTTCGGCCGAGAGATCCACACAGCGTGTCTCTGCGCATCCCTTGGAGAAACACACAGGTGGGCCTTCCTCCGTCAGCTGGGTCATGCGGAGGGAGATCCACACTTATCATCACGGACACGGCCCAAGTGTCTGTGTGTTAGGTCCATCTTTGCTGTTCAGCTGCTCTGGGTGGGAAAACAGCTCCAGAGCACTGGATTACAAGCTACAAGTACTTTAGACACCAACATGGGGTGTGGAAATTGTCACATCTGCCAGACAAGCCAGCACAGGAAACAACTGAGTTCTCGGGAGAAGCAGAGGGTGGAGAGAAGAGACCTTATGTGGACTAAGAGTGAACACGAAGGGCGAACGTGCTCCGTGACCTTGGCTGGAGGTCCAGAACGTGAGTGTGCGGAGGAGGACGGGAGTGTGCGGAAGGACAGGGAGTGTGCGGAGGAGGACGGGAGTGTGCGGAAGGACAGGACGGGGAGTGTGCGGGAGGACGGGGAGTGTGCGGAGGAGGACGGGAGTGTGCGGAAGGACGGGGAGTGTGCGGAAGGACGGGGAGTGTGCGGAGGAGGAGGGGAGTGTGCGGAGGAGGACGGGAGTGTGCGGAGGAGGACGGGTGAGTGTGCGGAGGAGGACGGGGAGCGTGCGGAGGAGGACGGGGAGCGTGCGGAGGAGGACGGAGAGTGTGCGGAGGAGGACGGGAGTGTGCGGAAGGACGGGGAGCGCGCGGAGGAGGACGGGGAGCGCGCGGAGGAGGACGGGGAGCGCGCGGAGGAGGACGGGGAGCGCGCCGAGGAGGGCGGGGAGCGCGCGGAGGAGGACGGGGAGCGCGCGGAGGAGGGCGGGGAGCGCGCGGAGGAGGACGGGGAGCGCGCGGAGGAGGACGGGAGCGCGCGGAGGAGGACGGGGAGCGCGCGGAGGAGGACGGGGAGCGCGCGGAGGAGGACGAGGAGCGTGCGGAGGAGGACGGGGAGCGCGCGGAGGAGGATGGGGAGCGTGCGGAGGACGAGGAGTGTGCCGAGAAGGACGGGGAGCGCGCGGACGGGGAGCGCGCGGAGGAGGACGGGGAGCGCGCGGAGGAGGGGACGGAGGGATGCGCGCGGAGGAGGGACGGGGCGCGTGCGGGAGGGAGGGGAGGTGCGGAGGAGGACGGGGAGCGCGCGGAGGAGGACGGGAGCGCGCGGAGGAGGACGGGGAGCGTGCGGAGGACGGGGAGTGTGCCGAGAAGGACGGTGAGGAGCACAGCCCTAGGGGAGACCCCTGCCTCGTCGAGGGATGACAACAAACCCCAGATGCCTGCGTCGCCTGTGGTCACTCCTACATGGAGTCAGTAAGTAAACCACCAGGGTGTCCCCCAGACCCCACATCCACTCTCCATCCACACGGAATGTTCCAGACCGAAGCTCCTAGACTGGTTAGCGTACAAGATAATAAATACACTCACCAAGGCCGTGATGCAAAGAGAAAAGAAATCAGAAGCCTTAGTTATGCCCCTTGGGTGCTGCGGAGAACGTCAGAAGCACAATGAAGAGAAGGCGAGGTCGGAAGTAGGACCACGAGGGAAAGGTCCGAGGACCCAGCCCTTGAGGGAAAGGCCAACCTCTGGGCTTTGGAACCGAAAAACGAGGTTCCTCTCTCTGGGTTGTTCTACCAACATGTGATGAGGTACCACGGGTAACCAGAACCCTCTCCAAATCTCTCTCTCACTTTTCTTGTCCCATCAGGGCTCACAAATATGCTGCTGTTGGAGAAAAGCTTCAAAGTAGAATGAACATTGTCGGGCAGGCCACTCCAGGGCCAAGAGAAACATTCTCTCAAAACACAGCCAACGTGGGACTCTTGGGAGTGCAGGCACCTGCTTACGTATTGGACCCCAGGGCCTGCATGTGTCCACCAGGGACTCTAGTCACAGACCAGTGAGGAAGAGGGAGGGGCAGGGAGAAGGGTGAGGAGATGACGGGGGAAGGGGAGGAGGGAGAGGGGAGGAGGGAGAGGGGAGGAGGGAGGGAGTAGGGGGAAGGGGAGGAGGGAGAGGGAGGAGGGAGGGAGGAGGGGGGAAGGGGAGGAGGGAGAGGGGCAGGAAAGAAGGGAAGACAAAGGGAGGGCAAGAAAAGGAAAAAATGAAAGAGATGATACGGTTAGAACTGAGAACTGAAATGGAATCTGAATTCTGGGGAAGAAAACCAGATGTTGCCCTGGCCGGTTTGGCTCAGCAGTAGAGCACTGGCCCACAGACCAATGAGTTGCGGGTTCGACTCCAGTCAAGGGCATGTACCTTGGTTGTGGTTCGTCCCCGGCCCTGGTCAGGGTCCTGCAGGAGGCAGCCAGTCGATGTGTCCCTCTCACATCGATGTTTCTCACCCTCTCCGTCTCTCTCCCTCCTACTCTATCTGAAGATAAATAGAAAAATATCCTTGGGTGAGGATTAAACAAAAGGAAAGAAAGAAAACCAGATGTTTGTTTTTGCTGATGAGTTCACTTCCTCCACGCTTGCATCCGTCCCAGCTCCTCCAGAAAGGCCACTCGGTTTCGATCCTGGGTGGGAGTTGGCTTCCTGAATGCGTCCTAGATGGGTCGCCACAGCTCCCAGAGCCCGGGCGGCCGCAGCCGGGAGGACGGCTGTTTACTCTGATGCCAGTCTGAGGTCACATCTCTTAGGTTCACACAAAAACAGTCTCTCCCCAGCACCGTGTTTGTAACCAATCAATCCACAGGGGACTTGGACTGAACTTCAAGACTGACAGTTTGAACACAGACTCAAACACGTAAATCACCTCTGTTAAAAGGTTTCTAATGGCCAAGATCATCCTCCCCCCACTAACACAGCCAGAGGGAACATGCTAATTACAAAAGGGAAGATATTCCAACACACGAGTCCGGAGTTCACCACAAGCAGAAGTCCTGAGACGTGGTGCTGGGTGCTCTTGCACCGACGTGCGCACGTGTGTGTACCCAGACTCTGCAAGACGAAACACCTCTGCATTCAACAGCTCTGGTCACCCCACTGAGAATTCTCAGTCTATTCATTAAGAATTAACCGGTGACTCATGCCTCGGTGAAAACTGCAAGCATAAACGAGATTATCTTATGTGATGTATGGCCCCTCAAATACCCTAAAAATGAATCATGGGTGCTCAGGGTATGACTATATCCTGCGAGGTTTTTAATCCACCTTCTCAAAAAGCCCATAACTAGGTCAGGCCCAGCAACTACAATCAGACAGGCAGCCCCAGGGAAAGCCTCATCTGCAAGTTTAAAGCTCTAACAAGTTCGACTCTGCTGCATCATGATTAAGTGAATCTATTGCAATTATTTGTGCTTAGCACAGCAACCTGCATCACACAGAAGCCAAGCCGGTGTTCAGAGCCGCGCTCTCGCTCTACCTGCAGCAAGGCCCAGGCATCCCTGCTCCTTGCCTATGTCTCTCAATGCCTTGTTCCCCCCCAAACACGGTGAAGAATAAAACACAAGCTTTGTAAAAGATGGGCAAATGCAGCGCAGAGAACAGGCCTGGGTTCTCAGTCATGGAGGAGCCAGCTCCATGTATGTGAGATCCCCCAGCACAGGGCTCAGGACTCAGCACTCCCCATGAAGCCCCAGACGGCACGTGAGATCCCCTCAACACAGGGCTCAGCACCCCTCCACGAAGCCCCAGACGGCACGTGAGATCCCCCAGCACAGGGCTCAGGACTCCTCCACGAAGCCCCAGACGGCACATGAGATTCCCCCCAGCACAGGGCTCAGGACTCCTCCACGAAGCCCCAGACGGTACGTGAGATTCCCCCCAGCACAGGGCTCAGCACCCCTCCACGAAGCCCCAGACGGCACGTGAGATCCCCCAGCACGGGGCTCAGCACTCCTCCACGAAGCCCCAGACGGCACGTGAGATCCCCCAGCACGGGGCTCAGGACTCCTCCACGAAGCCCCAGACGGCACGTGAGATCCCCCAGCACAGGGCTCAGGACTCCTCCACGAAGCCCCAGACGGCACGTGAGATCCCCCAGCACAGGGCTCAGGACTCCTCCACGAAGCCCCAGATGGCACGTGAGATCCCCCAGCATGGGGCTCAGCAGCCCTCCATGAAGCCCCAGATGGCACATGAGATCCCCCAGCATGGGGCTCAGCACTCCTCCACGAAGCCCCAGACGGCACGTGAGATCCCCACAGCACAGGGCTCAGCACTCCCCACGAAGCCCCAGACGGCACGTGAGATCCCCCAGCACAGGGCTCAGCACTCCTCCACGAAGCCCAGGACGGCACGTGAGATCCCCCAGCACAGGGCTCAGCACTCCTCCACGAAGCCCAGATGGCACGTGAGATCCCACAGCACAGGGCTCAGCACTCCTCCACGAAGGCCCGGACAGCCGTGCGTGGACACGGCGGATATTAACGCGGCACAACGTTCGAGAGCATGGACTCCAGGGCACAGGGGCCCGGATCTGAACGTGAGGGCACTGTCTGGATTTGAACCCAGCTCCCACCCACCGTAGGATGATAACAGCACCTCCTCAGTGCCGTCTGAGGATTACCTGACTTCATCTTTAAGGGTGTAGAGCAGTGCTGGTAACTAAGTGCGCTGTTAAAGTTTGATAAATAAGTACGAGAACAAGTCTTATTCTGAGGATGACCTTGGCTCACAGTGGGAAATGCTAAAGCCCCCTCCAAACAACTGAAACACACCAAGTCCAGCTCGTCCTACTCTCCAGGGAGGAAGCCAGACGCACAGGGGCCACGTGGGCCGCTGAGGACAGACGGGGAGGTACTGGCTCGTGGGGTATT